AGGCCAATGCTGGTAAGAGAACAGAGGGATACAGAAAATGACCACAAATAAATTTAGGCTGAAAATTAGAACAGCCATTAAGGAATCCGCTTGAGGAGCCTTCCAGTGGGAATAGTAAGTTTTTAAGGCAGAGCTGACATAAGTCTGGGGGAGGCTGCATGATGCAAGGCGGGGTCTGGACTCAGCAACTCTGCGAGACCCTGGCAGTCTGCGTCCTCTCTCAGGCAAATGCAGCCTGGTGTAGCAGTTCCTTTGGTTCCCTGGGCAGATGTGCTTCAGCTTTGGGAGCGGAGAGATGGGAATGCATCCGCTTGTGTGTGTGTACACACGCGTGCACGCTCACATGCTGTTCTGCATGCCAATGTCCTGCTGTGCTGAGTGCTTTGTGATCGTGCTCTCTGCCATGGGCTAGAGAAGCAGTGGAAGGTGCAGAGCCTGTGAAATGCCAACCCCCTTTTGTTTCCCAAACAAAGCCCCTTCTCCCCCTGGCCGGGCTCTCTGCAGCCTGGGTGCTGCAAAGGTACTGGAGCAACTCTTCCAGCTCCTTGAGGGATAAAAGAGCAAATTTTAGAAGTCAGAGAGGCCGAGCAGGTACCAGATGATGGGCTGGAGCCAACACAGCCTGGCTGGGCATCTCCAGCTCCTGGTTTTGTAGGGAGCGTTGGGATGTGCCCTGGGAAATTTTGTCTTGGGGCTGGAGGGTCCTGGCAAAGCTGCACCAGCCAGAGGACCCATGTGGCTGCTCGGGGCAGGACTGTTCCTGAGCCTGCTGGCGTCATCCTGCATGGCTGGGACCATTCCTGAGCTTGTTGTGGTCAATGGTGTGTCCTTGGGTATGTGGGGTCCATGGCCACAGCTCCCCATCCCCTCCCCTGCCCCAGCAGTGCCCCTCCTGGAGCCACTGGCTGCTAGCAGTGCCAGACATGTAACCCCCCAAATCCTCTAAAATCTCTCTAATCCCCTTTACCTCCACCCCTGTGGGAGCTGGGTACACAAATACACATAGAGGTGGAGATTACAGAGAGCCTGTCCTGGCAGGGCCCTGCCGAGCCCTTGCCTCAGCTTTCCCAGCTGTGGGCCCCTGGTGCCACCAGTTTTGGCCATGTCCACAGACCGCAGCGAGAAGAGGTGGTTTGGGTGCTGCTGCTGGTATTGCTGGCTGATAACCCTGGGGAAATTGCCCTCTGCTCCGTCATCCCATCCCTATTTCCCACTCCATCTCCTGCTGTGCATCACTGGAGGGGAGAAGGGCAAGGGAGGGGTTGGCGATGGCCCAGCCCTGGGGCAAGATGTCTTCTTCACCTGTAGGAAAGGAGCTGATCTCTTTTGCATCCCCCTGTGCCAAGGACCTTGGGGAAAGCCCGTGGCTTTTGGGCAGGAGCTGGTTTCAAAGGCAAGTGATCCTGGCACAGGTGGCAGGTACCCAATGGCATCTTGGCGGGGAGCTGAAGCCCAGCCAAGCTTGGGCTGAGGGGTTGCACGATGCCTTGAAGACTAATGCCATGGCACATGGTGCTGTTAGAGCAGAGTGCAGTGGCCTGGGTGTCTCTGGAGGGCGGTGATGAGCGTTGGCTATACGGGATTCCCATGCATCTTTCCCACCTCCCTGCACTGGCTTCTCCCATGGTCGCGAGGAGAGGGGCTGGTGGTGGACTGGGGCTCTTGAAAGGTGCAGGACCTTAAGAAGATGTGCGTGGTCTCCCCGGTGCCAGAGGAGGAGGGCAGTGAGTCTTTCCAGATGCTTTCCCCAACCTCCAAGTCCTTATTGTTACTGTGTGCCAGGCGCTCCTCAGTACTGGGGTCTGCTCACAGCATCCCCCTCCCAGTGCTGTAGTTTTTGCCTGCAGCGGGATGGGCTGGCGTCGCCCTTCCTGCCTTGGGCTCAGCATCAGGGTGGTGGGGACGCCCGGCTGAGGTTTCTGCTGACGCCTCAGTCGCTGGAGGAAGACTCCAGCGTGGTGGATTTCTCTCCACCTCGGAGATGAGCTTCTCCCCTTGCAGAGCCTTGTCTCGGCTCCTGCACTGGCCGACTGGGAGATGTGGTGCCAATGACTCAGACTAAGATGAGGGCTTAATTAGCACGGGGAGAGGGGGGAAGAGAGAGAAAAGAGAAAGAGTCTTTCATTGCAACAAGATTGATACCACCTCCCCCAGACAGTCACGTTCTGCCGCATCACCCTCCAGCCCGGCATCATGTGTGCCGTGCCTGACACCGGAGGACAAATGGGGCCCGGGAAGTGGCTGCGAGGTACAGAGGGGCACTGCTTTATTAAAAGCCTCGGTGAATAAGTGTCTGGAGGTATAGAGCAGGGTTTGCCAGCAGCCTTTTTAGCTGTCAGGCTTTGCCCTGCGTTTAGGGTGGGCGGTTTGTCCGCGCCAGCCCCTTTCCCCCTGTGCATGGAAGGCCAAGCGTCAGCTGCCTCTTCTCTAGCCACCAGCTTTGCTGGCCCTAAGGCACCTTATAAATCTTTTCCTCGTAACCTGTGCCGTGCTTGGCAGATGTCGCTGCTGCAGGGCTGCTTTGCCCTGTCTCGGTGGGATGCAGAGGGGAGTGCCGAATCAAGCTGCTGGGAGGGCACGCTCAGGGTGGCCCCTGTGCCCTCAGCACCCTGATTTCGGGCCGCAGGGCCCTACATCTCTGACTGTACCATTGTTTTACAGCCCCTACACCCCTGCAGGGATGGCAGGCGGAGGGCGG